GGTCCCTGGCGCATCTACCAACCAAGGAAATGTGAAAAAGATTAACCCAGTAACTTTGTTTTGGTAAGCCTTTTTCTGCAAGCGTCTGAGAAAACGAGCGCGTCATTGGTGACGTGGCAAAGTGATCTCATTATAATATTAACGCCCCTTAATCTGTAAACTTCCACTCAAGGCGCCGTCATTTTGATTTCGCAAGCGACAACGTTGTACCAGCTCTAATGCCATGGCGAACGTTTGAGCAAAACATGCTAACTGTTCTGTCTTTGGGCATAATATGTCTCCTTTAACAGGAAATGGCATTTGCGCAGCACAGTTCACTTCTGTAATGTGACACGTCTGATTGAAACTTGATTGTCAGTGTTGTAATCATTAACTAAAATTAACATTTTAGGTTACACTTTATTTTAAGGTGTCCTTGCTACTGTGTAATTATACATTTAAATACTGAGTAAAATTATTTAACTACATGTACTTACTATATGGTTAGGGTTAGGATTAGGGTTACTTGCATGTAATTATGCATAATTAATTGTTATTATAGTAGTAAGTACATGTAACGTGTAACAAGGACACCTTAAAATAAAGTGTTGCCAAATTTTATAACTAACAATAATTAACATTTGTTAATTAATAAAATAATAAAAAACTTTATTTCGTTTAGTTTCTAACATTAGACAACATTTTTATTTAGTTTAAGTTGAAGTACTAAAATGATTAAAATAATTAAAATAAAAACTAAAACAGAAATATAAATGAATAAAAACTAACTAGGCACATTTAAAGAACAAAAACAGATGAATTAAACATGAAGGAAAACTTCTTCTGAATTAAAAATGTAAAAAAACTAACAATAATATAAAAATGTATATAAAAAAAATCAAATATTACAAATACTGTACATGTAACGTGTAACAAGGACACCTTAAAATAAAGTGTTGCCAAATTTTATAACTAACAATAATTAACATTTGTTAATTAATAAAATAATAAAAAACTTTATTTCGTTTAGTTTCTAACATTAGACAACATTTTTATTTAGTTTAAGTTGAAGTACTAAAATGATTAAAATAATTAAAATAAAAACTAAAACAGAAATATAAATGAATAAAAACTAACTAGGCACATTTAAAGAACAAAAACAGATGAATTAAACATGAAGGAAAACTTCTTCTGAATTAAAAATGTAAAAAAACTAACAATAATATAAAAATGTATATAAAAAAAATCAAATATTACAAATACTATAATTGTGCATTAATAATACTAAAGTAACACTGTTGATTGGACATGCTTGAATAAAAAAAACATTATGCCCTACCAAGCTTGGATATGTCAGCAGAAAACAATTAAAAGATAATAAATACAATAAAAACATATATATTGTGCATTATCATGAATATACAAAAATAAATAGTCTGTTTAATTTAATTTATTTTTATTGTAATTGTTTTTCAATTTTTCAATAAAAAAAAACTCCTACTTTCATGAAGGCCAGAGTAAATGTTTCTGTACCTGTGATGCTGTAGCGGTGTGGAGGTCTTGGGCACGGTGCTGGTTCTGCTGCGTGGAGTTGGTTGCGGGGTGTGCTGCTGTTTAGGAGCAGGGCCTGACACCACTCGAGTTACTGTAGATGGAAAACTGCTGGATCTGGGTCTGGACTGAACCACTGCAAGAGAATAATGCAAAAATCAGCTCTACTGTCTACTAGGGCTGCACAATATATCGAAATTATCGAAATATCGCAAATGTAAATATCGCGATATGCATATCGCACGCGCACAAGCCGCATCTCGCACAGCGTCTTTTCAGTTCCCTTTCATGGGAACTTCGAACTGCGTCCTCTAGGGGTCGCTATGGGGAACGCCTCGTCGTGACCCGTGTCTGAAGCATACATTGAAAAAACACCAACTTGTTGGCCGGCGACAGCCATGACGTCACTCCCGGTGCGACTATAGTGTAAATAGGTGCCGGGAGCACACATCATTCATAAATTGATTTTTCACACTTTAAGCAATATCGTATCGCATATCGAATACTGCATTTTTTAACAAGGTATCGCGTATTGCATTTTTTTTCAATATCACACAGCCCTACTGTCGCCATAAGCCTCCTAATGCAGCATCCTGACTGAAATGGAACTCATGCATGCCACAGAAACGTGATTTAAGCGAGCAACAAAACATCCACACAAATAGAAAGAACTGGATGAAATATTGCATTGTTTAAATAATACAACTAAATGTTCAATATTTGCATTAATATATTAAACAGTATGCCACATTCCGTTGGGAATCAGTGTTATTTTGGTGTCATTTACATATTATTATAGTTTTTATTAGTATTTTAATTAGTTTTTATTTACATATTTTTAACATAGCTTTTATTATTTTTTATTTCATTTTTAGTGTTAGTTACTTTAGTACTTCAAGTTAAACTAAGCAACAATTGTAAAACGCAAAAAACGTTTTTAATGGTTTCAGTTTTAGTTAACGGTAATAAACATGTTGGGAATAGACATAAAACAAATATATTTAAAGCCTTGTTCTCAACCTTGAAACTGCGAAGGCAATTCCTGACCTTGTTCATGTTGTTTGGGTTTGGCTGGCTGCTCTGTGTTCCTCTCCTTCACTCTCTGCTCCAGTTTATGGCTGATCTCTTTCAGAGCCCTCCGACACGCTGGATCCTCTTCCTGTCTCTTCTGACGATCAGTAATAACCTGGGTCATGGTGCTCTTAAACGTCCCTTCAGAGAGACCACTGACTCCCTGAACAACATTATAGACATTGAGGTTATACAGTGCCATGGCGTCTCAACTGCAGTCCAACTGTATAATCTATAAAATATATTTTTGTCATAAGATATTTTGTAATTCAGGTTGACTCTCACTACCTTGATGCCTAAGCTCTGCAGTCGATCTTCAAGGTTCTGCTGAGCTGCCAGACGCATGTCTCTCCTTAAACCCGGGTTCTTCAACAGCTCCTGCACTTCCTGCTGCCATGACCGGCTCTCTGTGTGACCTTCAGAGATGCTAGAGGAATCTGAAAATATAAGGCGAATGATCATGGTGAGTGGCACATGACACATGCTCTGGAATAAATTTTCTGCCATTCTACAATTGCAGTGGCAGATGCTACCACTCATTAACAAAAAAAAACAAAAAAACAATTTAACATCATAACATAGTATTGGAAAATACTCTGATAGCATAAAAAAGATGCACATCATTGCTCTATAATGCAGCTGCAGAGACAAAGTAACACAAACAAACAAAGGCCAACCAAGGCTGCATTTATTTGATCAAACATATAATAAAGAGTGAAATTTAAAATCAGTTTAAAAAAATATATTTAAAAAAAAAAAATGTAATTTATTCACTCCAGTCTTCAGTGTCACATGATCATTCAGAAATCTTTCTAATATGCTGATTTGCTACTCAAGAATCATTTCTTATTATTATCAATGTTCAAAACAGTTATGCTGCTTAATATGTTTGTGGAAACTGTGATACATTTTTGTAGGATCCTTTGTTGAATTCAAAGTTCAAAAGAACAGCATTTATTTGAAGAAGAAGTCTTTATTTTTATTTTCACTTTTGAATTTAATGTGAATTTGCTGAAAAAAAATATTAATAAAAAAAAAGCATACTAACCAGAAACCATTAAACGTTGGTGTATATAAAAGTATAATTATAATATTTAAATAATAAACAATTGTCACCTAACCACTTCATATCTTAATATCAGGTGTAAACAACAGGGCTTGCAATTTTGCTTGCAGTTTTTTTTAAATAACTAAAATAAATGAATTAGTCTGACCTTGCAAAACGGAAAAAAAGAAATATAAATATATTGAAAAATATAACTGAAGAAAAACCGGAAATGCCTCTGCAATTGTACCATGACTTTTATATTTTTCAAACCCATAAACAATGGAGAATACAAGCACTTAAAATATGCTCATTTACTGTATCTTCACAATGAAATTTCCTTTCTCTTGTTCTGAGCTGTCCAATGATTACATGCATGCTGGAAGACAGATCTTCCAGCTCATGCCTTTAGTTTGGCATGCTCAGCACTTCACTTTAGCACATGCTCAGACTGAACACACAGACCTGAGCCACGCAGACGGATGCGAGCATGCCACAGACGACTACACTCAATCACTCTACTGCTTTACCTTTCTCCTCCTCTGACAGCTCCACTATAGGATCCAGTTTACGGACTGAGCTGGACTGCTCTAATAGGACAGTGCAAAGAGGTCAGAGAAGAGTGCAGGGGTTATGGATGGACATATTCAAATCTAACCCTCTCATTTTGCACTGATATTACCCATACTGACCACATGCTGATTAAAGACCCCATTACATCATGTGTCTGTTAGTTACATGTACAGTACATTCGATTTGAAGCCATCTCTATGCTAGTGTACACCAAAAACACAAAGTTAACCTTCAGCAGACATAAACTACAGTTCAGAAGTTTGGGGTCAGAAAGTAATAAAAAAAAGAATACTTTTGTTCAGCAGTGAAGCATTACACTGACCAAATGTGACAGTAAAGACATTTATAATGATACAAAAGGGTTCAAATTCAAGCAAATGCTGCGCTTTCTATTCATCAAAGAATCTTGAAAAGTGTCATGGTTTCCACAAAACTATCAAGCCACTGAAACGATTCTTGAACACCAAATCAGCATATTATAATAATTTCTGAAGAATCATGTGACACTGAAGACTGTAGAAATGAAAGCTTTGGCATCAGGAATAAATTACATTTTAAAATATATTAAAATAGAAAACAGTTATTTTAAATGGTAATATTTCACAATATTACTATTTTTACTGTATTTTTAATCAAATAAATGCAGCCTATATGAGGAGACTTCTGTCGAAAATATTAAAAACTTTGCTGACCTCAAACTTTTGAACTGACTTTTTGTTGCTGAACAAAGCAACAAAATCAAAGCAAATCAGGATATATTTAATTTTTAAAATACAGCATGATTTTGGACTAATGAGATTTTGAAAAAACCCTCACAATTTTCACATTTTGGCATTGTTCTGATCTTGATTTTTGGTAATAAAGCAACATGTAAATCCTTTGTTCCATAAGCTCCACAACATGCAAAAGCTTTGATAGTTGCAGTAGGTTATGAATCTTTTAAGAAATTTGATTAATTTTTTTGAAGATTTATCACATCATGCCTAATCAGGTCACAGCGTGTGAACTGTGATCTACATGATGTTTAGGGATCTATATTATTTTGATATTATCTAACAACACCATATTATGCAGGGACTTACCACTGAGCACCACTTTAGCTTTAGTCTCTGGAGCCGGGGCAGCAACCACTGAAACAAAAAAATATTAAATTTTTTATTTTATTTTTTGCTCATATATTACGTTTGTATGAAAATATAAAGTCTACATACCTTCACGCTGTACTGTTATTGCTGGCGGCTTTGACGAGATCTGTTTCATCTGTCATATAAACAAAACAGCATGTTATTTCTTAAAACAAAAAAACCCAGTCAGCAACACGTCATCTGAGCCGTCACTTCAAACTTATGTTTCACTGAAAGAACAACCTGCATAATGACGAGCTGACAACACAATCAGTGTGATGATAATTACTAGCGTCCGGATATGTTCCCACCCATACACTCCTTCAGCACGAACCTAAAGATTATGCTGTGGGCTGCTGCGCTAATACAGGAAATCCTGAACAATCGAGCCTCTTCCTGTGCTGGGATACAGTACTGACCTGCTTGTTTTGGGAGGTAATAATCTGCTGCTGCTCCTGCAGCCTGTGGCTGAGCTCCTGCACCTGTCGTCGTGATTCCTCCCTCCCTTCTGACACGGCCGAGCGCAGTTTGAACAACTCCTCCTGAAGCTGATGGAACATATATAACAGACATGTGGATATATGAGCTATTTCTGTATTTAAACAGCTACATGATGCCTGTGAGACCTACCAGACTTTTTTCACTGTCATATTCCTCCTTTATTTTTTGCGTTTTCCCTGCCCACTTCACCTCCTGAGTAAAGAAAAACATCAGCTTTAAAACTACAGCAATTTCCATTCTAAGGTGTGGTGTACTGGACTGTCCCAAATCATCTGAATGTTGTATCTCTTACTTGTTTGTGAAGTTTTTGCTGAAGTTTAACAACTTCCTGCCAGTGTTCATTGCTGGCTGGTGTACTGGGCTGTGTCTGTACCGGCTGCACACTTTGCTGGATATTTTTGTGCTGTAATTTTAGCAGCTCCTGAGGAGAGGAAAGTACCATAATAATACCATTTCAGTATAATCACATCACATAATATCAATACTTCTATACATTTTTGCCTTGTTTAATCAATGTATTTTATCCTTTACAACCATGTTAATTTCAATCCAGCAAAGTTTGGAAATCCAGCATATTATATAATAATATAGTATATAATATTATAAATGTTATTAATTTGGAGCAAGATAAGGTTGAATAAATGAAATAAAAACCCACATTTTCTAGGTTTCTGTTCTTTTGATGCATTGAATCCATGTCCCGCTGACAGGCTTGCTTGACTTCATCTATTTTGCTGTTCATCCGCATTTTCTCTTCTTCTTTCCATATTTCCAGTTGTCTCTTAAACTCTTCCTGCCTTTGAATGAGCTCTTTCTCCTGGAGAAAATAGAGCATGACATACTTATTTCAAATAACAAATCATTCTATTAAAAACACGGTGTCTCTTTTGTCTCCTCTAACCTGTTTAGCAGTGCAGTCTTTCTGCTGTGTCTCCATTTGGGACGTGACCAGGGTCAACTGCTCCTGTAGTTTGTTGATTTCCTCTTGTAACTTCATGGTCTGAATTTTTTTCTGATTATCAGTCATCAGTTCTGGAACATATGAGATGCTGTTGTTAACTGTACTGAATGTGCACTCGTAGTGTACTTCAAATCTTATAAGTAAATTTTGCTGTACTTGCAGATAAGTTGAATATTATTAATTAAATATAAAAGGCCACTTAAGTGTACTTAAAGAGAAACTGTTTCATAATACACTTAATTAAAGTGCACTTTGTAATGACACATAAAAAAGTAAAGTAAAAGTAAAAAGTTTGACTTTAAATTACATTTTAAATAGTTGTTAAATCACATTGTAATAATATTTTGTCATGCTTTTTAGAAGTACTTAGTTTGATGTGTTGACTGACATACTAAAGCACATGTAAAGTAGTAGATTAGAATTTTAACTGTAGTGTGCCATTTTAAAATTTAAAGATCATATATTTTAAATGTACTAAATGGCAACTTTATCATTACAAAGGCGTTATTACAAATACATTTAAATACATAATATACAAGTTTCTTTTAATTTATTTTAAATGATACATTTTATTAAATGTATGTATTATAAAAAACTATAAAACATTTTTATTTAAATGCAATTAACATGCAGCTGCTTGAAAACATTACATTTAGTTTGCATTTAGGTTTGTTCTTTTAAAGTATATATTATTTCCATAAGGGCTCTATAATAGTATGCTTACTTCTTTTTCACAAGGGCAAGCAAAATACAACAGAAACCCATTGTGAAGTGATTCAGCACACAGATTGAACTCACTGATGTCAAACTCCGTTGGATGTCTGCGCTGCATGTGACTTTGCAGGAAAGAGGCATTCATGAAGGCTTTCTCACAGTGTTGGCACTGAAACGCAAACAAAATCAGGGGCTTGGTTAATTTACGAGACACCAAATCTGTGAAGAATAATACAGATAACTTATTCTTAAGTGACTTGCTTCTTTTGTATTCCATTGGAAAAACACAGTCATATAGGTTGGGAAAACACGGTAAGGCTGAGTAAATGATGACAGAATCTTTCCTTTTGGGTGATCTAAAAGGCAAATGTTCCCGGGAGAATCGTTGCTGAAGGTCAAAGTGAACACGAGCCCTGCTCAGGTGACGAGCAGGTGTCGGTGCAGCTCAACACAGCTGTCACTCACACTCCACTCACCAATAATGCCAAGAGACAATGTGGGCACGTTGCCATGGAAACACCTGGTGGTGCAGGGTTGATGTTACATCTTTTCCCTGCTCTATCTCTCGCTCCAATTCACGGATATGTGGAAAATCCTCAGCGCTGCACATCATACACCACATTTAGCAGCCAAAACGCCCGTCTGGTACTCTCATGCAAATTTAACCACACTGCCACTGATACCCATCACAAACACACGCTCTGTGTTTGCCTTTTTTTCTGCAACAAGACAGGGAAGACTGTCTCCGTAAAACTCCCACTGTGTGACATAATTGCATTGCTGCACTAACATAACTTCCCAAATCAACTGTGAAATGCAATTATGTGTTTAGGATCCATTGGTGTCAATCTGCAGCCTCAGCAGGTGTTGAACAAAGACCAAGACAGTGTATTACAGAACTGGAGGAACCTCTAGAAAACTGTAAAGAAATATCTGGGTCCAATTTCACGTCAAAGTCAAAGGAAAAATATATTTTTCAAAGAGAAAATGAAGGTTATTTTAAAATCAAGATTTTTTATACACATTTAAAACATCCTCCTGCAGTGACATTTTACTTTTTTTGTGAAAAAAATAAAAATAAAATATATATATATCATAATTGTACATTTATATTATGGTACTATTCATTGTACTGGTTTGTATTTATGCTGATTTTATTTGAATAAAAAAAATTACCGTAATTAAAAAAAAACATTATTTTGTCTAAAGAGGATTATAATCTATTTATTACAGTAATAATAACAAGTTTTGTTGCTAATTTATATGATATTTAAAAGCTAAATTATATATTTAAATTGTATTTTGCTTATATAAAATTTTTCCCAATTTTGACATCATTTTCATGACATTTCCCCTCAATTCATATGCAAAAAATATCTCACTCTCTTTACTGTAATACAGTATTACAAAATAATCATTAGCTATTGTAATATTATATATATATATATATATATATATATATATATATTGTGTAGTTTTTGTTCTGCCTTTATAATTTAATTTGAACATTCCAGATTTAAAATCAAGATTTTTTATACACATTTAAAACATCCTCCTGCAGTGACATTTTACTTTTTTTGTGAAAAAAATAAAAATAAAATATATATATATCATAATTGTACATTTATATTATGGTACTATTCATTGTACTGGTTTGTATTTATGCTGATTTTATTTGAATAAAAAAAAATTACCGTAATTAAAAAAAAACATTATTTTGTCTAAAGAGGATTATAATCTATTTATTACAGTAATAATAACAAGTTTTGTTGCTAATTTATATGATATTTAAAAGCTAAATTATATATTTAAATTGTATTTTGCTTATATCAAATTTTTCCCAATTTTGACATAATTTTCATGACATTTCCCCTCAATTTATATGCAAAAAATATCTCACTCTCTTTACTGTAATACAGTATTACAAAATAATCATTAGCTATTGTAATATTATATATATATATATATATATATATATATATATATATATACTGTATATAT